AGAGGGGTGGAGGTTGGAAGCCCCTTTTAAAAATCTACAGACTGATGGATGATGTTACAGGGAAGGAGAAGAATCCCAGGACACGACTGATGAGAGAACTGGCAGTGCAGGGTGTTAGGAGCAAGTCCCTTTTCTAGCCCATCTTAAAGAGCAACACCTCAGCCACTGAAGCTGAAGTGGGATTAAGGTTTTCCCTCAAGCACCAGTCACAGAAAACTTTCCAGGTGGCATCACCGATGTGCATCATAGAGGGCTTGCAGGAAGCCTGGATAGTGCGGATAACCCTATGAGGTACGTTGGCTTCCCTCAGATGTTGCCGTTCAAGCACCACACAGTCAATTTGAACCATTGAGGATCTGGATGGATTGAGGCTCCCTGATGCGGGGAGATCCTGTTGGTTGGGATCCTCCATGGTGTGGCTACGGACAGGTTCACCAGATCTGCAAACCAGGGTCTCCTGGGCCACTGAGGGGCCAGGAGAATTAGCTTTGCCCATTCTTCCAACATCTTCCAAATGACTGCCGGAATGAAGGGAAGAGGGGGAATGGAGTAGAGGAGACCCTGGGGCCACCTGCTCTGAAGCACATTGGTCCCCTCTGCTCCCTTGGAAGGAAATCTGGTGAAAAACCCGCTCACCTGAGCGTTTAGTAGAGCGTTTAGTGGAGTGACAAAAAGGTCCACTGCTAGAGCCCAATATTAGAGAAAGATCCCTGAATAGGGAAAGGTGGAGACTCCACTCTGCATGGTCGACCCTGCTCTAACTCAGCCAGTCGGCTTGGGTGTTGTTGACCCCAGAGATGTGGTCCGCCCTGATGGACAACAGGTGCCTCTCCGCTCACAGCCTTAGACATTCGGCTTCCATCAGGGCCCTGGGCCTGGTTCACCCCTGTCAGTTGATGTGCAGCCACATTGTCTGTCATCACCAACACGTGGGACCCTGCTACCGATGTCCTGAAATGTTTCAGTGCCAGAAAAATGGCTCTGAACTCTAGCAAGTATATGGGGCAGGACTTGTCTACCCGAGACCAACTGCCTTGGGCCATCTCGCTGGCCAGCTAGCTTCCCAACCCTGAAGACTGGCGAATGTGGTGAGCAGGAGTCTGTCTGGTTCCTGGAATACATGGGCCCTCCAAAGAGCCGGAGATTGCCACCACCTGAATGAGCGGAGGGTCTTAGGGTGTACCTGAACCCTGGAGGAAATATGACTGGTCCCTGCCCATTGTAAAGGCAGCAGGAGAGACTTCCAGTGATGTTGTGTTGTGGCAGTGCAGGAGAAATCTGCTCTGATCTCCTGTGCCAGGTTTTTCACCTCTGGACAGCCATTCATGGTGGTATTGGGTCCTGAATGGATCAACAAAGTGAGGAGAAACTCTTGGAGTCAATTTGGGAAGTTGTGATCCCGAAACATCAAAGAAGAGAGCCCGAAGTCTGAGGTGGAAGAAGTCAGCCCTTTGTGAGCAAACCCGGAGAGGTGATGAGCTATCAAGAAAGGAAGCAGCGAGACGATAGTGAACGGATGATTGGCAAGTTAACAAGGTTGGAAATTCCGTTTGGATTATAATTGGAACAGATCTCTGCGTGCATCAAGGAAGCCCAGAGTGAAAGGGGTGAGGGTGGAAGTCGGCAGCAGAGATTTAGCTTACCACCCATAACACTGGGAAAACAGTGAAAACAAGAGAATAAGAGGAAACTTGAAGAAAAATTGGAGCAAGGTGAGAGAGTTGAGAGGATACTCTTGAAGGATTTATTTCCTTTTGACGGTTTGGAACGAAAGTGCTAGGATTATTTGAACTGAGAAAAGTGATCTGATAGGAATCCAAGTAAAACTAGGAGTGACTGTGCAACTTTTGGAGACGGCCATTGAGAATGCTAAACTCTGGTAAATTGTTTTTCTGTGAGTGGAAGAGATTCATAAATCTGTGACTGAAAAAAGAACTGTCTTGAATTATAAGAACGTTGGAATATATTCTATTATCCTATAGCTATTTATAGGAGAAATAATGTATTATATAATTGTATTTAGGTTACCTATTTATTACCAGATTGCTTAGGATTTCTTTCTTTCCCTATATAGCTGTTCTTTTTTTTGGTGGGGGGGGAGGTTGGAACTTTTATAATATAAAATCCTTATTGTAAGTATTTAAATTTAGTTATAATTAAGAGTTATAGATTGAAGATATTATATAGTAATTTCTTTGGATAATTTTAGCCAATCTTTATAAAAGGAAGTAGTAATTAATTCCACCACTCAACCTTCTTCCCATTGATTTATTGTGATCAAATAAAATTATTATAGTGTTTACTAGAATTATATTATATTATATATATTTCCCCCTTTTCTTTGACTATTAAGATCTAAAAATTGATAAATTGCATATTGATAGTGATATATTTTGGTGAAAGAGTAATTGTTAAACTAACTTAAATATTTCTTTTGGGTAGCAATAACTGAGAGATATTGAGTGATATTTAATTGTATTCATTGATAGTGATTGATATTAGTTAGTAATGTTTTGGTATTAATAATTAAGAAAGTCTGATTATTAGAAAAATTAACAACTTACTGTTAAATTAAGAATTAAATAATAGATATTAGCAGAATAATTGATAGTTAATATTAATTTGAGTAGGGATAGAAAATCATTTTAACCATTAATTGGGGAAATCAGAAACTCTTTGTTTATGGTAATTTGGGATAATATATTTAGGATAATAGATGAACAATCTAAAATCATCAAAGATATGACAAGTATTATTACCACTAAGACCAGGAAAAAACCTGCAGCTAATCAATGGTGGCATTATCCAGTCCAGCAGCCTCTATTCAACGAACAATTCAAGGAATGTTGGCTCCTGAGAAATCAACTACACAACTAGTGCTCAATCGGTCCAAGCTTCCTTATTAGCAATCCAAGGTACAATGTTAATGTTACAAGAATCAATGTCTAAAAATCATATTGAAAGCAGGGCAGACTGGAAAACAATGAAAACTGAATTAAGGGAAATGAAAATTGAAATTAGGAACCTGGACGAGAAAATAGGTCTGATCCAGGAATCAATTAAAAAGAACGAAGAAAAGGTCAAGATAACTGAACAACAATCCAATCAAAATGAGAAAAAACTGGAACTCATGGACCAAAAAATCATGGGCCACAACAAAGAAACTGAAGAGGCCTTAATCTACCTCGAGATGGATAGAGCTTCTTACTACTTAAGATTCCAAAATGTAGAGGAAGTTAAGGAGGAGGACTTAACATTGGTGATGGCCAAACTCTTAGCGGAATTTCTCCAAAGAGACAAGAATGATATAATAAATGAAACAGACGACATCTACAGAGTTTATACTAGTTACGCAAGACGGCATAGACTTTGTCGGGAGGTCCATATCAGATTTGCCAGGAGAAAAGTCAGAGACATAATCTATAAGATTTCAAGAGAGGAGACAATAAAATATAAAGACAGAGAAATAATTGTACTGAAACAAATCCAAAGAAGAGTCTGGGAACAGAGGAAGGACTATCAGTTCCTCACAGACTATTTTTAAAAAAATCCCCTTTAAATAGATTATCCCGGAAGGTATCTTGACATCATGGAATGAAAAAAGGCTAAAAATTGATAACTTAATTAAAGCACAAGACTTCTTTGAACAGTTAGGTGGATCAGAAGAGGAAACTAGAAACGCCAAGTCAAGAAGAAGTACAACAAAGAATTAAAGAGAGAAAGACCAAGATAAAGAAAGCAGGGGGAAACTACTTATTCGAGAAGAAACAGGAATCAAAACTAGAAGCCAAACAGCAACCAAAACCAATGAGATACAGCCTAGAATAAGGAATAATGGGAAAAGGACTAACACTAATATCTATTAATATCAATGGACTAAATGATTCATCAAAAAGGAAAAGAATATTTTTGAAACTAGAGAAACAGAAATTGGACATAATATGTCTTCAAGAGATTCATAAATTACAAGATCAGATATATTTACAAAACAAAAAACTGGGGAAATTATATACATCACTAGCAGAGGGAAAAAAGACAGGAGTAGCATTATATATTAAAGAAGAAATAGAGTCAAAATTGAATTATAATGATACGATTGGAAGAATATTAATTGTAGAGGTGGTTATATCTTGCTGTCTATCTTGCAGCTTATAAAATGGGTCAGATGGAAGGAATCCGCTCTCCAGTTCTTCTCTCTGTCAGTATCAGCTCTAATAGAAACCCAGAAGACCAAATAGCACTGATTTGCCTCGTGTGGTTTTTTTTTCACTATGCAAACAGTGATAGGCACCTTTTGGTATGCCTTGTTAGGTATGACCACTTATATGACCCTAATTTATGATTAACAAAAGAAGGTAAATTTGTTCACCCAAGGCAGGGTTTGCAACCACCCACTTCTATTTTTTAAAATTATTTTTGAAGAATGCTTTTGTGGCTACTGAAGGGCCACAAGGCAATTTTCTAAATAAAAATGTTATAATCTTCAGTTTAATAACTAAAGACTAGTTAAGTAATAAAGGTTGGATAAAAAATACAGTAAATAAACAAACAAACAATATGCACATCTTGGGATTGCAACAGCAACCAGAACTGCCTGCATTGCTGTTGCTAAGTGATGCAGTCATATGACATTGTACTGGTATTTACAACCGCATCACTTAGCAATGGCAATCCCCATCCTAATTGCTATAACCGAAGCCTACTCTGTGTGTGTGTATGTGTGTGTGTATTAGTGTGTTTGCTTGTCTCAGCCTCATATCACTCAAAAGCTGATGAAGAACTGACATGGTTTCCCCAGAGTCATATAATATAAAAGAATAAAATTAAATAATGATTTAGTTATGGAACTAACAAAAAAAATCCACTCACATTAAATCCATTGCAGTATCCTGAAACTTGATCATTGATTTAAAATTGGGTACTCCAGTCTAAATATTAACTGATAAATTCATATTTTGAAACATGAAAATAGCATGTTCTACATAAGGTTTTGAACATACCTGAATTGGAGTCAAACTTCGTTTCAGATCTAAAACAAAACAAAATGAAGACATGATTTGTACAGTCTGTAACTATAAAAAGCTTTTAAGCTCAAAAAACCCTTCACAATATTTTCATTCTAGAAATATTGACAAATATTTTCATTTACAAGATTGGTGAAAGCAGCAAGAAACACCCAAGTGAAAAATCCAATGTCAAAATTACAAACGGTACATCTTAAATATTTCAGTTTTAAAACTGTACTAATTTACTTGTGATAAGGATTCCTTTGGAGAACATCATTGGACAGTTATTTTATTTGGTTTTTTTAATCCAACTTATTCTGAAAAAAAGTTTATTTCTTATCACATAGTTGGATATTCAGCTTACTTGTGATTTTCTTTTTACTGAAAAAGAAAAATATATATAAACTTTCTGTTACATGTAGTTTCCTATAGTATTTAAGCATTACACATATTACCAAAAGGGAATATTTAATAGTGAGGAAGAAGGAGAAAGAGGAAAACTAGCCTTTCTGAGAATATCATGTTTCAGATATCGATGAATAACAGTCCTAAATTCAAATGCCTTTAAAGCTGTCAGATCAGCTATGGGAAAATGTAAGTTGAGTAATTACTTTCAAGATGCTCCTGAAGTGCTGCGAAGCAGAACTAACCAAGTGACAAGGCCTATCTGAACAAGCTGTAAGAAGCATTGTCTAAGATCTAATTCTCAAACCAATTAGTGGGCCTGCTCCAGCCAGATTTATATCACAAAATTAAAAACCACTGGGGTATGCCTGTACATGGGATAGAAGAGAATAAAAAAAAATATTATTTTATAGTTAAAGCTTCTAACTATAAAGAGCATGTAACTTTAGTATGAGTATTTTCAAAGGAAATACCCCAAAGTCCCTGGGAAATGGCAGATTCTTTCAATCTATACATACATGTTTGATGTGATTATATAGATTATAAAAAGATAAAATTCTATAAAGAATCATCATTTCAACTTAATCAGAACATGTTATTTTTTTCATGACATTTCCAGGAAAATCTAATTATGTTCCACAATTCAAAAATAGCAAACATTCAACTAGTAACACACTTTAATAATCCTAAATAACAGCAATATAGTAATATAAAATCAATATCCATGACAACTGAATGTCCTTCTCAGTTGAAGGCCTGGTAGCGTTACCATGTTGCTAGAAATGTAATAATATATTAGCATAGAAGCGGTGCATTTTAAATACAAAAATGTATTCAAAGCAAATATGGCAAATGACAATCAGACAGGAAAGGCATGCAGAATCTGGTTCTAGATGGAGAACTAATTAGCTATTGTTACTTATTTGGTTTTCAAACAGTTAAATACAAAAATACAGTATACTAGTTAATGGCAAAGGAAGAAATAATAAATGATCTTCCAACTCATCTAGTGTAAAGGGATATGAATATTATTTTATGAATAATGCACAAATTTATGTCCTTAATGGCAGAGTTCAATTATTATGTATTTGTTGGGATTTATATGATCCCCTTCCTCCAATGATGCAATGCAGGTTATCTCCCTTCATTTTTTCATCACAATTTGCAACTCTCAATTGTGAGATTAAATTAGTATAAGAGAATCCCTTGTCCACAGCTAATACTGGTGCTCCCACTCATTCTTTCCCATCTTCCCACATCAAACTTATTAATAAACATAGAACATAACATACTAGAAACCTGATGTGTATTGTATATTGCATCTTCTCCTCCTGCTTTCTATTCCTTATATACCAAGTTTTCTATACTTGGCAAAATCACAATTTTAGATTCCTGGTAATTTTATGTCCAGACTGTTTAAGGTGCAATAATAGACAATGATCCTCACTACATGTTTTAACACAACCTACAGGAAATAATTGTTATGTTGCCCAAACAGAATAATATATTGCTAACCAGAGTCTTAGATGCGTGGAAATCTGGTGAGTCTAGGAATTCAATTATAGAGGTTGAATAAATGGGGGGGGGGAGGAGGATACATCTCTCCCACCACACTATGTGCACAATATTCCAGAACATTTTCTGAGCATTACACCTCATTTCGAGTTAAATGTCTGAAGATAGCTGTTGGATTAAGAAAAGTTGCCTGTCAATTTAGGTATATGTAAGATTTCTCCATAACAATGTCAGAGAGATAAAGCTGAATGCTGCTTTAAAATTGAGGAAGGTCAATTTCAAGTATACCTTTTTCAATCAAGTAATGTAAAGCAAAAACACTGTCCACTGTTGAGTATACAATTTGGACCTCAACCACTTCACTGCTGATCAAGCCATCAGATATGATACAGTTAGTTTTAATTGTAATTACAACTAAAGTCTGTACTCTGTATGCTCAACTCTGTAAATAAATAGTAGGTTACACTTGTTAAAAATTTTCAAGGCATAGATCAGGTTATTTGAGGGACTCCCTATCTCTGATAGTTTCTGCCCTTGACCAAAGCACTCAGAATTCTAAGTCAACATTGCTTAAAAGGACACATTACATCTACCCACTTTGTAATTATCTAGTAGGTACAAAGAATAATGTTTTCCCAAATTAGTCAGATGTCACAAACTGCATTTATTTTCTTCAATCTACTTACTTGAATAAAGGACTTCCACAAACAACACATTTGTATATCCCATGGGCTTTATGGTATGTATATTCTCCTTCAAAGGCACTAAAGCACAAGACAGAAATAATTATTTAGTATGCATGCTTACAAATTCATAATTCTATTTTCTTTTGGGCGAGGCAATCTTATGCAAAATGAAAGAGGTAAGAAATAGTCAACTACAGATAGTTCTCAGCTTTCAACTGATATTGACACTGAATGTCCACTCATAAATTATTATGATAGTTAAGCTGAGGCACTCACAACCCTGCCCCCAATTTTATGATATTTTTGCAGCAGTGGTTAAGTGAAATCATCATGGTCATTAAGGAAACCTATCATTATAAATGCAAACCCATTCTTCTAATTGGGCAATTTTTGCAGAAACTAGCAGAAAACATCTCATGGCTGCAGGAGGTTATAACAAATGAGGTGGTTCACAAGCTCTGGAATGCAGTCACATAACTGTGAGAAGGGGATGTGGCATTATATTTTATGATGGCCAGAAGTGACTTACAAGCCATGAAGCATCCATTCCAGGCTTTTGCATGGTTGTTAAGTGACCAGTCATAAATTAAGGACTATCTATAAAGAAATGTGTTTTATAGTTTTTGCAGATTCTGGGCAGTTTAACTCTGCAAATTTAATCTCAGAATTGCTTCCAATATAGAAATATTGAAATACTTTCACATTTATAGCCAGAATAAATTTTATAGATACTGATCTGAAATAATTTTCCTATTTTTTAAAAAAATGCTAATATAGATCTAGTGCTACTTATTCCCTAGACTGCTATAATTTCTCCTAGTGCTCCACCCTTAAGACTTCTGGGGATTGAAATTTCTGCTTTCCTGGCTCCAATTCTTCCAACTGTAAGGGGGGAAAAACATGGAAGACAGACAAAATGAAATTACCTCTTTTAAAAAGCCTGTCTGAAAGGGGAATAGAACTTGATTTTTCTGAAGCTCTCACTGTCTCTACCTGCTACTAGATTTATAGATTAGACTTGACAGCTGAGATATAAATTTCCCTTCACTGTTTCATGTCTGAACCTTTGAGGATGAGATTTCTTTTCATTCACTATATGCTTGTGTTTTAAAGTACTGTATAAACACATATGCTTCCTGGATAAAAGCTGCTTAATAACACAATATTTTCTTCAACACATTTTCAATTAAGTTTTTAAATTGCCACAGCAAATTTGTTTTTTTAGACCCTAATAATATTTTAGAAACATATTTTATTTACCTTATGTTAAACCAAAGAAAAAATATTTTATTTTGATCATTAACTAGATTTACATAACATAAAAATAAAAGATAAATTAAAAACAGAATTTTAAAAAATGCACGTGGCTAGCACAGATGAAACTGTCTTAGTTCAGGTAACTCACTAAGGCTTTAGAGAAAAGACCATTATACATCATAATTATAACTAGAAAGAGTAAGAGAAGAATTAACCATTTATCCTTATCATTACATTTTGATTCTTTGCTATTTACCTGATACCTTATCAAATACAGTAGCATAACAATACTTTTCTAAGTTAACCATTTAAAGGGCTAGGAGGTCATTGTTCTAATACAAATCAGCTGTGTTCCTCTAACAAGAAATCTAAATGCTCTACAGCTTGCTTTTATTATCCTTTCAATTCTTTTTAAGGGGTGCCTTTTTATACAGTTGTTTTTAAGTGACCAAATATCTTACTGTTTCATGTACTACATCACTGTGCTAATCTTGCAAACAACAGAAAATGACTTGACTGAAGTCATGGAAAGTGCATCATCAACAGTCCATGTCTGGAGGCATAAGGAGCTTTAGCACCCAGAAATCTTCATTAAGCAAGTCTAATTAAAAATAAAATATTGTGCAGCGATACTAAATTGGGTCAAGAATTGGGTTAAATTAAGTGATAAAAGAATACTATTGATAGAGGGTCATGACCTCCATGAAGGCTGGCACGCATATTTATGGGAGAAAAAAGGTAAAACACATGCCTATTTCAATAGGCATCTAATAAGAAATTCAATATTACAAACATGGAGAAAAACAAAAAATAAACATTATATGAGAATACCACGCTGGTTGTCAATCATAGAGGCCATGATATACCCAAATAGACTAGATCTAGGCAAAATGATAAAATATAACAATCTATTAGATGCCCAAGGGAAACTAAAATCAAATCAAGAGTTAAAAGAACAAGGAATTATAATTGATTGGTGGCCATATCTTCATATTCAAAATAGATATAAAACAGACTCAGAAGAATTTGAATTTGATATGGGGCAAAATCAATTGGACAAGATTTACTTGGACCAGAACAAACTTTTATATCCAAAGTATATAGATACCTTCTAGATTTTAAAATGGAAGAAGAAACACTTAAGAATACGATGATAGCATGTGCACAGAATTTCGGTTATAATATAAATTTAGACGAGTGGGAAAAATTATGGAACATAAATTATAAACAAACAGCGGCCGCAACATATAAGGAAAATTTATATAAAATGTTTTACCGACGGCATTTAGCCCCAGTAAGATTAGCTAAGATGTACCCAAATTCTAATCCAAAATACTGGAAATGTCAATGAGTTGACGGTACCTTTTATCACATGTGATGGCTATGCCCCAAAGCCAAGACCTATTGGACTAAAATTAGAGAATGGACACAAGAAATCACTGGGCACCAAACTGAATTCAAATAGGAACTCTACCTACTTGGGATAATACAAAAACAATATCCAAAAAAGATAAAATATTTAATGTTATATATATTGACAGCAGCGAGAATAGCCTATGCGCAAGTATGGAAAGAGCATATGGTCCCAACAGAAGAATTAATTTTACAAAAAATAGCAGACTGTGCTGAAATGGATATGCTCACACTAAAAATAAGAGAAAAAGAAGAATCTGACTACTACTCAGTTTGGCATAGATGGTACATGTGGTTAGAAAAGAAAGATAAGAATTAGAAACGATGACTATAAGAGAATTCTCAAGAGAGTGATACATAATATGTAAATAGGTAGACAAAAAGGTTAAAGATGAATAATAATAGTAATTGTAAATAAAGGTAATATGTATTAATGATATGTATGAATAGATGATGGAAATGTAAGATAATATTATATGTTGATGCAAAAGCTGTTGAAAAATTGAACTAAGATTTGTACTGGTGGAAAACAATAAAAATCTATTGTTAAAAAAATAAAAATAAAATATTGTGAATTAATTGTAAATTAAATATTTAAGCATATTGTTAAGCTTACAGAATCAAAATGATTCAAAACCATCTTAGCAGAGATATCTATTTTTTATGAATAGAATAAACTACATTCATTATTTGATCCTTGAAAAAGAACCATCTGCCTTTTTTTCTTTCACTTTACCTTTTGTCAGAATACAAAAGCTGCTTAATGACGCAATATTTTCTAAGAAAAGAAACTAACAAAAAAGAAATGGAAAAATTGAAATCATACCACATTCTCTTTTCTCTTTCATATTTACCTCAAAAAATTGCTTTAAAGGTTATTTTCATTATAATTCAAATCTCCTTCCCCAAAACAAAAAAAATGACATGTGCTATTTGCACAAATGTAGTAAAGTAAAATAAATATAAAGTGACAATAACCAAGTTACACTGATCAAATTGCTGAACTCCGTGCCCATGCTACAAATTTTTGGCTTTTTAAACCTGAATTATCTGAAACCACTTGAGAGAAAATTACAACATAATGAAAGAGAGAAGAATCATCTTATTTTTTATTACCATCTACCTCCTTGCTATACCTTTCAGTTCCTTTCTCCTGAGTAACATGGTACTGCAGAGGTGTCAGCCGCTTTCTCAGTTCTTCATCAGAAAAAGTCACCTTATAGTTCTTTTTTTCCCTACGTGACCCTGCAAAAAGATAAAATATGGAAAAAGAGTCTTTTCAATTTAAACTCCATAGTCTTTGCATGCTAGCCAAATATAGCTTCTATTGTACATTCACTTTTCCAAATAGCTAGATTACATCCTAATGCATTAGAGAGGTTCAGCGGATTATTCTATCAAACCCAATTTTTAGAAGATTATTGTACACAAGCAGGTGACTCCATGTGAAAAGAATGTGAGGCAGCCAAAGCTTTCACTATGCATAAAAGTCAACACACGTTTGTGAGATCTGACCGTCACATTATCCTTTGCAGGAAGGTAACATCTGGAGCCTAATATTGTGTTCCTCAGGTCTTCTCAATAAATACACTTTAGTATTAAAACCCTATAAGACATCTGTAAATAGGTAAAAGGTAAAGGGCATATTACGTTTAACCAGAAGTTGTGATCACTTAAAAATCTTGGAAATGATTGTTAATTATCATTAATTTTGAAGCATATTTTAAAATTATCTTATAGCTGCTGAAAAAATCTAGGGTATTATTCAGATACTTACTTAAACCAGCATCCACTTAAAGCACTTTTTTTTCCAAGTTGAGGGATATATTTTAATTTGAGTGTTGTGTTGTGGGTCATGCTTAAAAAAGTAGACAACTCTTCTAAAGACTGATGGGACTCCAAATTCTTCTTATTGTTCCATATAGTTTATTTATATTAGTTTGTATTTTAATTGTTACCATTTTTATTTAATTATTATGATTATGGTTTATAACTACTGAAGTTTGCTTAATGGCATACAACTCAAATAAATTTGAGGCAAATATTGTGATGGTTGCAATATAGGTGCAAAATCAGGGCAAAATCCCTGGATATAAGGGGAATGAATATGATAGCCATGAATTCAGAAAATTCAGCTAAGAAATTAGGAACTTAAAATACTAAAAATTCTAGAGCTTAGTAAAATGCATGCTGGTTTTAAAGACGAGTTAAAATAAAATGGAATGTAGAAACTTAGGAACATGGGTAATTATCCTTAATAATATAAAAGTATCATTTGTAGAAAAAGCAAATAAACAATTCTACAAATATTATAGTTATATGAAGTATTGAAAAATAAGATTTACAAAATAAAATTTTTATCCAATAAAACTGATAAGTATGAAATAGTTAAAGAATGCCTTGTAATGCCTACAATTTGATTAAATAAGTTTCATTTAAAAGTTTATTAATTACATATTTACTATATAACAGAATAATATGGAGAGATTTAATGTTGTGAAAGATCTCTCAACACATAGATTAAGAGAATTTGAAGGAAGCTTATTGAGTTGACTCCTGATAAGGAACAATTTAAAGATTATATGCAGGAAGTGAGACTAATACGCATTCCTCTGCTCTACTTCCTCTCCAAGGCACAATAATCTGCATTTTTGAAATCCAATTAAAAATCAAGCAGCAAATAGATAAGGCATATTGTACACAGAGGAGGATTATACATATCTGCTGCTCAGCAGAATATTTTAGGGATGAGCTCTTTCATTTATCTCCAAACATAATGAAAAGAACTAACAGAATGTGAAATTGAAATACTCTATTTTATGCAGCACTCTAGCTGAAATGGAAAAAGACAATATGGAGAATGAACCAAATAACTGATATATAAAAGAGTGCCAACATAGTTTCAAAGTAATATTTATTCCATAGAAGAAGTTATTAAGATAATGGGTGAAATTTTTAATATATTTTTTCTAATATTTAATGGAGGCAGCTACATAGCTCAAAAACTTTAAAAATGAAAATAAAATATTTTCATTCTGCAAAAGTTATCTGTTCTTAGCTTTCCAAATGTGTTCAGCAATACTGCATTTGTTAAGATGTGAATCTTAGATGAATTCATTAATCTTATGGTTTGTGAACAAAAACACTTCCTTATTAAACTTTTTAAGACTGCAATCCTTTACATATTACCTGAAATATAATTCGCTTTGAATTTAGACAGATTACTTCTAAGATTGCTCTTTCATTTTAGACATTTATCTCTCTCAGTATTCGATAAATAACAAAATATAGGCTAGTCTGGCAAGGCAATAAGAAGTATAGCTATAGACTTACAAATGTAAACAGATACACACAAATAAATATTGAACATGCTAGTTTCATCATTTCCAAATATTTTAGGCTATAAGTATGTATAGTGAATTTTTCTAAAAGCATTTGGGTGTTTAAGAGATTAAGATCTTAGCTGTTATATTTGGCTTGAACAATTAACATTTTTCAAAATAAACTTTTCTCCCAGTTTTTGAAGAATTTATGCTTGATTACATCTCTACAAAGGGTTTGTTTAGCAAGATATATACCCTTATAAAGAAACTATTGTATTCTCAAAATAGAATGACTACAGCAATCCATCTGTATGTCATTTAGTACAAGGAGAGAAAGGACAGGTTTAAATTACATGGTATTGAATTGCAATTTCCTAACATTGAGTGTTTTTCTGCTTTTTTACCCTCAATCATTACTAAGGAGTGTTCACAAAAAGTAATTTTAAATTTAAGTAAAGATGTTTCTTTTTTCCTCCTCTTTATACCATGTAAAAAGAAAGTTAGTAAGTGCTGGTCTCTATCAACTAGCCACATTATCTGTACATATACTTTTTAATAGTACAGAACCTTAGCTGTTGGTTGTAAGGTCCTGAAAAGGAACATTTTTATTTCTCAGACAATACATTAGTTTTGATTTAAGCATTCTTTAAAAGTAGTCTTTTTGCTGTAAGGCCTACATTTATTTCTGTAGAACTTATTTTAATGGAAGACTTTGAAGACCACGGCTTGCAAATCAGAAAATTTTTCTACATCCTGGTTTTTGAACCCAAAATATCAATATAATTTCCTAACAGTAAATGAGGTATCTGTTTATAACATTCATATTATAATATTCATATTATTTTAAGAACTCAAATATTGGAAATTTATATCTTCAAACTATGAAACATTCTTTTATTTGAAAGCAAAAAAGGTTAGAAAAGCTATGTTAAAATTCCCACAAATGTTATTATATAAACTTCAGAATTTAAGTCATTATAGTTCATTGATCATATACCATGTCTATAAAGAGGCTATTTGTTTCATTTTTTAAATTGTCTATTCTACTATTTTAGGACACAAAGCAGAGAGAAATGAATAAATAAGAACACGAAGTCCAATGTAGCATGGGGATATTCTCTTATTTGCTGTGGCAAATAGAATCCACCACTTAACAGACAAAGAATTCAAATGGTAACAGAAGAATACTTTTTTAAAAAAATGCGTACATTTTAGATTATCCTCAAGCTGTGAAACAATTTGCTGCTTTTAATATGACTGAAGGTCAACTAAAAACATTTGTTTTTTCCTCATTTTTTAATTTGTAAACCACTTTTGGAGCCCTTTGGGAAATATGGAAGCTTGTTCTTTGCTAAATTCCTGGGAAAGACAATTTCAAAATTCTTCTTGTCATATATTCATAATCCTGGGTTTGTATATAGATTTGAGTTTGGTCAAATTTAAAAGCCAGGTAAATATGTCAAATAAGGAAAATAGAGTTTCCACAAAAGGTTGAGACTATACTCAAGATTATAAAACTGTAAATAATTACTGCTAAATATTTACTATTGAGAATAAGCCAACACATTCTTCCAAATATATGAGCAGCCTCTGCAACTTAGATCACATTTTTGATTTTTATAAAAATATCTATGTAGGGTTTTTTGGCCACAAAATAGAAGTAATTATCTTTTGCCTTCTAAAGTTCCCCCCCTCCCCCATACTCTTACCATCCTAGTATTTTCTCCCATTTTAAGTATTTAATGTTTTTTTTTACAGGCAAAGACCAAAATATCAGACACATTACAACGAAGTTCAATACAGGTAAGAGAAGTATATGAAATTAAGAGAATCACTGTATTAGTTAAGTTAATGTTATTTTTAATTAAATTTATGGTTAGATGGCAACCTTGGTTATGCAATTAAATGCTGCAACCTGCTAAGATGTTTGATCTTTTCTATACTTTATGCCTGCAAAATGTTTGACCTTTTCTATACTATATACCAAGATATTTTCAAGTTATCACACATTATTTCAAATTCAATACTGAGGATTTAAGAGAAGTGCAAAGTTACACGCATGCTACTTTGCAGAATCTGGTATCAGGATGTTTTGGGAATGCTGAGGAAAGGTTTCGTAAAGAATAGCAAAGGTTCACATAGGCACAAAACATAGTGGTTAAATATATAGGAAATATATAAGTGGTGAGTTTTTTGCAGAATGATAATTGTCTTGATGCAGTGATACACTACAGCTCTTAGAACTCTCTTTACTCCTAAAGTCATTCAAACATACTTTAAAGCTTATGAAGATTTGTTCTTTAAGTAAATAAATAAAGAATTTTGGCTTATTGCAAACATAATAAATAAAATGTGTCTTAAAGAAATATACAAAATATATGCCATATAACTAAATCTATATAAATGCATTTCATATATTATAAATTTAGTTTCCAGCAAAAGCCTTAGCTATTTTGAATACATAAGAATGTATTTTACCACTTCCAGCTTGAGTTCCTTTGCTGACAGAGCGAAACCATGATCGTGTGCGGTTTCGATCCGTGCTCGCCGCCGGAGTGCCCCGAGCTGGCTGATTTCGGGGCTAAGCCACCCCACAGAGGTGGTGAAGAGGGGGGAGACTGCCAGCAGGATTGAGGAGAGCCGCATCTTTCCTCCTCAGCTGGCCATTACTCCCTTTCCCAAAGGCGGTTGCAGCGGTGGTCAGAAATGGCCACCTCAAAGAAGAACTCAACCGGAAAAGAATGTGCAGGAGGAAGATAAGAAGAGAAAGTCTTGGTTGACCGAGTTAAACTGCAAAAGCAACAATGCAAGGTACCCTGGAATTTAAACTATAAAAAAAATAACATTGTTCCCAAAGAAGATTTTGAAGCAGCAAAGGAGAGAGGGAAGGGAAAGGATTTGGTTTTGTTTTTTTCTCTTCCC